CTGTCATGATTATGTGTTACTCAGACATGACAGAGGCATATGTAATACTGATCTGGCAGAATTCTGTGCCTACACTCAATGCAGCATTAGATTGAAGGACTGGAGACCGATAGTGATAGTGATAGTGATTTCTTCACCAGGACTAGATTCAAAGATCAGGGTTGGGTCCAAGAGATAGCATAGATTTGATGATGTCCCTGCCCTATTGTGCATAAGTACCCTGCCGGAACTGGAAAAAGTGGACTCCAGTGTGGTTTGGGAGACTTCAAAGCCATTAGTCTTGGAAGATTTCTATGTTTATGCAAAAGCTGCCAGGGCATGGGGCAGCTAGGGATTTCAAGCCTTTGTGACAACCCTGGAGCTGTCTCAGTGCACCCTCTCTCAGTACATTATGCAGATTGTGCTTTGGATTTGGTCTTTGCTACTAGGAGAGGTCAGTAGGGTCTGGAATTGTGGGATGGGTATTGGTGGGTTGATTTAATTTAATTTTTATGGATTTACTGTGACTGAATTCCAGAATGACCTGGAGGAAGAGCCTTATCAACATGAAGAGGTTTATCAACAGGAATATTCCCAAGTCTCCTTTGAGGAACCCAATAAACCCACTTGTATTTGGGGAAATTATGAGTAATGAAGAAATCTGTTAACACCATGAGTACAAGTGGCATAAATCTCACAGTGAACATGACTAAATTTTAGTGGAAGCCATTATCATGCCTATTGTGTGGCAGTGATGGTGGGAAATCAAGCTCCTTTTACTATCATCATGTTGCGGCTTAGGAGAGCCTTTCTGCATGATGAAAAGAAAATTAATGTCTGGTAGTTGTAATCTGGGAGACCTCAAAATTCTGCTGTGACAAATTTGCAAGGCATTTTAAGGACAAAATTATATTTGTCACATGGGACTTGATGATGCCATTGTTACAGAATGAGTAGGACACAGTTGGCTTATGGTCTGTGGGAGGATTTTTAGTTGTGATCTGATGATGTGGGCAAAATCCTTGGAAGGGTCCAACCAACAATGCGTAAACTCAGTCCTCCCTCTCATTTGAAGCAAGTAAGGCTGTTCAGGTGCTGGAAGGGTCCTGGAGATAGTAATGAGTTGGATAAGGACCACTAAATTTAGGTGGAATCCCGAGGATGGAGGATCTGCAGATGCATGGCAATTACCTAGATCTTGGAGCTGGGTAAACAATTTGTCCTGGATTGGATTGCCCTCCCCTTGAAAAAGCAGGTGTATAATCTGGAGGTATTCATTTATCCAACACTGAAGACCTACATTGTTTCAATGGCATTGAGTGTCTTTGTCCAGATTTGGTTGATGCAGCAACTATACAGGGTGATTCAAAAAGAATGTTGCAAAACTAAATAAGAAGAACTTTATTTTCACACCATCCTTTTTGAATCACCCAGTATAAGTATTCCTGGTCAGAGATATCTTAGCCATTGTGAACCATGCTCAGCTAACATCTCATTAAGATTATTATAATAATCTAGTCAGGTTTCTCTTGTTGCTTTTTATAACATTATATTGCCTGATGAAAAGGCTTGGAGATCTTGAAATCTTGCACATATTATTGTGTCCTTTTGGAGGGCCAATAGACATTACTCTACAATTGGTTTTCAGTTATATACTCAGTCACTGCAAAAAGAAAACTATTCATGTGGCAATTAGCACAACACAAGCAGATCTCTGGAGGCACTTAGGTTGAAAACATGCATACCTCTGTTTTACTACTCCATTAAGAGTCAGAGTCAGATAATTGCAATGTTTTATGGGCAAAATTAGCATTATATACACCATTTCTTCATTTTTATATGCTCTTTCCTCCCAGAGTTTATTAATATATGGTGTAGAAAAATCCATGCACTTAAATTATAGGCAGTCTGCATGTGGCATCTAAGGCAATTCTGTACAGTCTGGGCATTTTGTTGCAAAGTCCCAGCATTTTTAGGTGAAAATTTGACCAAAGTAAGCTCAATTGTTTATGCTTCACTTATATATAAAAAGGCATAATTTGGCAGAAATATACTAGTGTAGTGTAGTGGTTTGAGGGCTGATCTAGGACTCTGAGAGACCAGGACTGGAAGGCAATGGAAAATCTCTTCTGAATAAATATTGTCAAAAAAACTTTGTCACAGAGTCACCGTAAGTTGGAGTCAACTTAAAGGTACATAACAACAACAAATAATCTGGCTGGAGATCTCTGCATTTATGCTGATCTTAAAAACATTAAGATAATACATTTGAAAGTTACTGTAAACATTTTAAAATGATTTGGTGCAAACTTATTCCCAACTGCTTACACTAATATCTGGAGAATATCAAAATGAAGATGCGTTGGAAGCAGGCTGCACACCCTGCTATTATATACTCTTGGAAATAAGTTCCATTGAAAGCAATTAGATTTCCATTTGAATAAATGGAATTTATTAACTTTATTCAGATTGCCAATTTTCAACTGCTTGTGCACTATAATACCTCTTGAATACCATGGGCTGGACAAAATATGTACCTGGCTGATACACACACAGTTGTCTGTTAATAATGGTTTGGAATATATAATAGTCTCATAAAACATGTTAATTATGTGCAAAAGGATATGCAATTTGGAGTCAAGCTTTTCCGCCTTCCTCATGTACTTGAAACATGGTTTATTAGATTGGTGGTCTTTAATGCAGATTTATAACACCCATTGGCTTCTCTGAACTATTAATTTTTTTTTTTACATCACCAACATGTTAGTGCTTCTTTCACAGTTCTAAAATGCAACAGCTAATATGACTTGGGATCCCGCTGCTTGGGATGCAGTGGCTCAAGTGGTTAAGATGCTGACTCTGTTGATTGCAAGATCGGCAGTTCGAAGCCCAGGTGCTGCATGATGGGGTGAGCTCCTGTCACTAGTCCCAGCTTCTGCCAACCTAGCAGTTCGAAAGCATGCAAATGCAAGTTGATAAATAGGTACCACTTTTCAATGGGAAGGCAAGTGTTTGATGCAGTCATGCTGGCCACATGACCACCAGAACAGTCCTCGCTCGGGTAACGCTGGCTCTTCGGCTTAGAAACAAGAGATGAGCACTGCCCTCTATGGTCAGACACAACTTGACAACCTTGTCAATGGGGCATACCTTTACCTTTACCTTTTAAAATGACTTACAATCACCTGAGGAAGTACAAAAGCTAATGCTACAAGGTCTTTCAGTTAATCTCAAAGGTGCTACAAGTTCCCTTTGCATAATAAATCTATCATGCAACTGTTGAATGTCACGAGGTATTTACACATTAATAGCCAGTAATATCTAATATGAATGCAGTGCGAGGCTTACTAGCAGAGTGGATTTAATTCCTTTATGACACAGTTCTGCACCAGAGGAGCCCTGGTGGCGCAGTGGTTAAATGCCTGTACGGCAGCCACTCACTCATAAACCACAAGGTTGTGAGTTCAATACTAGCCAGGGCTCAGGCTAGACTCAGGCCTGCATCCGTTTGAGGTCGCTAAAATGATAACCCAACTGTTGGGGGGCAATAAGCTTACAGGTGTAAACTGCTTAGACACCCCATAGTGCAGTATGAAGCAGTATATAAAATGAAGCTGCTTTGCTTTGCTTTGCATGTATCACCTCTAGAAATCATTTCCATTGAATCCAGTGGGATTAAACCTCAAAAAAGTAAGAATAGGATTGTACCCTTATTCTCTACCCTTTAATTTTAATATTTCTTAGCTTTTCCTTTCATTTTTTAAATGATTAGTGAAAAATAGAAATATTTTACTGTTGCCCTTTTTTGTTTTTAGGTTTTTTAAACTGGTGAAAAAGAGGTTGATGGATAAGGTTGTAAGAGGGCTTTCTCTGTAGTAGTGCCTCAACTGTGGAACTCCCTGTCCAAGGAAGTTTAGGCTGATCCCATCTCTTTTAAGCATCCACCAGACAGCCAAAACAGTACTGTTCTTCATGGCATTCAGTGTTTAAAATTGCTGTTTTAACTGATTCACAACTGGATTCTAAGGTTATTTTTAGATGCTTTTGGGAGTTTTTAAAGAATATGTTACTGTGTTTTAAAAATGTTTTTATCTTTCTCTTATTCTAATTGGTTTTTGTTTTTGTTTTCATTTGTTCATTGCCTTGGAATCCTTTGTGGGTTAGGAGGTGATACAGAAATACTCCAGATAAATCAGTAATAAAAAAGAAGGGGAAATTTGCTAAATATTAAAGAGAATCACTGCTATTAAATGTATGTAACTCCTAACTGAAATGCCTCCGTGAACTATAGATGAATGGTAAAACATTTGGTTATATCTTTTAATGATACAATTTTTGTTTAGTATTATTGCAAAAGGACATCAACTTATATCTGTGAGGTCAAAATGTAAGTTCTTTTTCAATCTTAGCCCAGGGGGGAAAAAGAGTCAGTTGTTGATATCTTCATGCTAGCAATTAACATGTGTTAAGTACTCCAGAAAAGAGGTAAAAACATCCTTTACACATTATCCCTTAATCATAGGCAATTTCCGTGATGCAGGCTTTTCCTACCTTTCATGGGGATGTCAGAATGACCGGTCTAAATAGCTCCACTAAAAGCTGGTGCAGGAAAAGTTCACACAAGTCTTCACTTTGTGATGCTTTAGCACCTCCTTTAAACCTGGAGAATACATTTCCGCCTAAGATCCTGCACTGAAGAGAGAAACCTTCCACAAACACTGCTTTTTCCCCCTAGGAAAATCCTATAATTGTTTGTGATTAGTTACTTAATTTAATAAATAACCAGAACAGTGGATGGGGATAAAAGAACACTATATACAATAACACTATACTGGTAGAAAAGCTACTGTTTCCGTTGTTGTTGTTGTTGTGTGCCTTCAAGTCAGTTCTAACTCATGGCAACCCTAAGGTGACCTCATCATGGAGTTTTCTTGGCAAGATTTGTTGAGAGAGGATTTACTTTTACCTTCCTCTAAGGATGAAAGAGTGTGACTTGCCCAAGGTAATCCAGTTGGCTTGCATGGCAGAGTGAAGATCCGAACCCTGGTCTCTAGAGTTGTAGTCCAACACTCAAACCACTACACCACACTGGCTCTCGCCTATATGGTGGCCTTCTCTACATCCAATCTCCATCATTCTCAGTCAATTTTGGTGCTTGACTGGTGATGATGGAAGTTGTGGTCCAACACATTTGCAATGTCCTAAGTTGTGGAACCCACTGATGGTGCTATCTTTCCATGGTGGTGGCATTGTGTGCTCCTAGAAACCAAGAGACTATGCTGATGGTAGGATTGCTAAGGGTAGGATCTCCCATCTCCCATCTCAGACAGGCTTTTGCTGAGGGATCAGACTAAGGGTCAATGCAGACGGCCCCTAAGGGACGGCTCTGTGTCGCCCCTGGGAGTGCCGGATGAGGGCCAAATTTTGCATTTGGATATTGTCCTGAACCTTTTCACATTGCACAGTTTTGCCACTGTGATTCCACTTTAAGTGCTTTGGCTGTGTTCAGTGGAATTGTGGGGGTTATAGTTTGGTGAGGCACTAGAGCTGCCAGTCTGAGAAGTCGAAATGCCCTTCACTAAACTGCAAACCCCAGGATTCCACAGTGTGTTGCTATGACAGTTGAAGTGGACTCATAGTGCTATATAATTCTATAGTGTGAAAGGACCCCTGGATTCACATAATCCAAATTTTAAGATTTGTCAGATGAATGGCTTGCACATTGGAAAATAGTATTGTTCCAGCAATCATAATTTTTTCATTTATGAAGGTATTATTCTGGCTCTTACAGTTGCATTCTGAAAATAGCAATTCACAGTTTTTGACATGAAGTTTCTTTAGTTTCTTCTTTCTCTCAGGTGCAGCAATACCTTTACAATGAAATCCAATGAAACAGTTGTTGTGGGATCAGGTTCCAGAGGTGATGCTGTTTTCATCTATGTATACCTGTTTGTATTTTTACCATTGGACATGCCCAAGCCATTAGGTATGCCTTTAAGTAACACTTTGGATCTCAATCAAAGTGCTCAAACTTCCTTAAGAGCATAGATAGTAATGTTTGGGCTAAGTAATTGTACCAGGCAACAGGTAATGGCAAACCTTTGATTAATCCCTATATATGTGTTACAGGTCTTACATTTCTCATTTCTAGATATACAATCTGCTTAAAGATTTTTAGTACATTTATAATAAAAGCAACCATGTGAGTAGGGCCAGCTCTGCCTTTAGATAGAGTAAGGCAGCTACCTTTGGCAGCAGGTTTTAGGTTTCACCAAAGGGCAATAGAATAGTAAGTTATCTGTTGTTCTGTTTTGACTTCCAGAGAACAGAAAAGTTGCTTACAGAACTTTTGTGCCTTACCAATTTGACCAGTGTTGGATATTACGCACCATGACTTTGTGTTATTGGAGGATGGGATGATATTTACTACTCTGCCTCAGGCAACAAAATGTCTTAGGGAACATGTACACTGTCAAAATAATGCAATTTGACACCCCTTTAGGTGCTGTAGCTCCATCATATGGAATTCTGGGATTTGTAGTTTTATGCGGTCTTTAGCCTTCTCTGCCAAAGAGTGTTGGTGCCTCACAATACTACAAATTCCAGGATTCTGTCAGATGGAATCATGGCCATTAAAGTGGTGTCAAATTGCATTATTTCTACAGTGTATCTGCTTCATCTGACCTGCTCTGTTTGTGAAGTAGTTTAGGGTGACCCTAGATAGCTCATCCATGAGCTCTAAGCAAATTTCAGTGCTAGCCTTTCATCTAAACTTTGACTATGACTTTGTAATTTATATTCTCTCCTTCATGTAACTCTTATTTTCTTTTTTGACAATGTACAGCCTCCCTTCTCATTTGGCTAATGAGGTTGTTTGTTTTTATTAAAGCCTTCAAAACCCATTAATTTTTATCATGAACTCATTAAAAACCCATTAATGAGAATATGCACTTATTGATAGTGTAATATAAAATGCATCCCAATTTAAAATTTAATGATGCAACAGCAGAGACCATTAAAAATACCATTTGTAAAAGGGGGAAAAAAGAGTAAGGCATTGTTACCTATGAGCTCCCACTGAGCACATCATCTATTTACAGTCACTAACATCTTTTTGCTACTGTGTAAAAAGACAGATTGAACCAGCATCCATCAAGGTGAAAGATAATGATTGCCTATGTCAGACAACATCTGCTTTTGCTGAATTCCTCAGCTTAAACTTGAGACATGCCAAAAGTTTCCACTAAATATTACAATTACCTGAGGAAGTTTAATCTGTGCATTTAAAATACTTCTTTTTGACTTTATTTATATGTTTGGTGTTAACTTTTAAAGATTATTCCAATGTCAAATGCAACTTTTAATAACCAAGATAAAACACAGTGGCAGAATGTCAAAGTTCTGTGGAATCCTAAGACTTCTGTGCTTTGCAATAGCAATAAATTCTTTGGAATAAGATGCTTCAGTCACAGGGGCAGTGCAACATGGTGAATTGACATCATGCAAAGATTCAGGAGTCTAGATCATAGTGCTGCTGGCTAGCTCTTACTACCAGGAAGATTCAAGCTAATGCTTTAGGAAGAAGATACTGGGAGTGGGGCAGTGGTGGCAGTTTTATGGCTGGTCAACTTCTGTTAGAGGACAGAGTTGTATATGCCACTTGAACTACTCTGCACCAAGTAATTTAATCTTCTGCCTTCAAGAGTATTGGAGGAAGTGGTCCCCTAGATTCAACTGCCAGTGCAGCTGACTTCTGTATGTGGAATAGAGAGGGAAAGTATCATGTCTTTCTCCACTAGGAGCAAAATGTCTTGGGACATGTCTGTCACCTGCACCAGGATGCAACTCACTATCGAAAACTGGATCAATTGTGCCATTAGGCAAACACTATCATTTGACAATAGCATTTGAAGGATATACACTGGGCCGACTACATTCACTGGGGTTAGGGATGCAGGGCCCTTGTGAAAGTGAAAAAAACACAAATAAATACACTTTTTTAAAACTTGAGATAACACATCTCCAGGAATCTTTAGATCCACCAGCACAACTCTATGGCCAATGTCCAGCAGAAGTTGACCACAGAATTGCACTGGAGGACCTACAAACCTAGGAATCCCTAGGTCCTCCAGTGGGACCCTATGGTTAACCTCTGGCAGAGACATTCTGGAGCACTTAGAGATTCCTAGAGAAAATAGATTAATGAAATCTTTGAATAATTAAAGTTGCAAAAGCCAAAGCCGCAAATGTGGAAGGCCAACTGCAGATAAGTTGGAGCAGGTTCTGAGGAGGACAACAAAGATGATAAGAGATATGGAGAACAAAACATAGGAGGAAAGGTTGAAGGTTCTGTGTTTGATCAACTTGATGAAGAAAAGACTGAAGAGTGACATGATTGCCCTCTATTTAAAAACCTCAAGCACTGTCACAGAGAAGAGAGGGCAGGCCTGTTCTTTGCTGCCCCAGAGGGTAGGACCAGGTCCAGTGGTTTGAAATTACAGGAGAGTAGATTTTGATTGAATATTAAAAGGCACTTCTTGACAATACTAATGGCTTGGAAATGGAACACATTGCCTGGAAAGGTGATAAGGTTTCCTTCTTTGGATGTCTTCAAAAAGAGTTTGGACAGCTACCTTCTGCAGATGCTTTAGCTGGAGATCTTGCACTGAGCTGGTAGTTTGACCCAACAACCCCTAAGTCCCCTTCCGGCTCTATAGTTCTATAAATCTATGACATGGAAATGATCAGATGGTCTGTGTATGTCAGACGGATGCACCATAGGCACAAGAAAGATATACATTGAACAGTATGTTTGCGCTGGGCTTAGTGGCATTTACTTCTCAGCTGTGTTTTGGAATGTCTTCTTAGGGTGGGCTGAACAATATGTTGTGTTCAATACAACTTTGCATTCAACACAACTGCTCTGAAAAAACAAAATATCAATCATCACCACTATGGGCATGGCAGAGCAGTTTTACATTTTCTCTTCTCTCCTTCACACATTTGCAGCCTCATTTTGAAGTTCATTTCATTCAGCACTTGTGTTTGAAAGTCACCTAGGCATGCTCAAACTTATGTACCCAAAATAGCAGCTTGGAAAAGTTTTTTTAAAAAAAATATTTTGGATGATAACTACCAGAATCCCACAGCCAGCATGGATGTTATACACCAAAAAACTATGTTTTCAACTTCTGTCTTTTATAGGACATTACATATCCCAGTTGGGCAGTAGTGGGATGGGCCAGGGGAAGTACGGTAGGTTGCAAATAAGTTCTCTCCATCCCCTGATGTTCAAACTTTTTAGTTTGTAAAACCAGTTTCTAGATTGCCTAGGCCCTATTGTCCCTGTTTCACATGTGGATCAGCGGAAACAATTGTAGGCATCAGTGGTGCTTCCTTCCCATTTACTCAAATTAATGTGTATAACATAATTCAAGTTATTTTGACACATGAGGCAGAAATCCCATCTCTCCCATCACTGGTTGAAAAAACAACAACCAGCAGCCAAACAAAATCCCATAGGACCTATGTAAATTAACATACAATTTAGTGCCCTTTCATGCCATCCAAAATCAGCAGTTGGAAGTCAATGCTTCATTTTCTCTAATGACAGGGCTTCTCTATGGAAAGTCAAAATAATTGGAGGGCCAAAGATTTGCCATTCCAAACTATAGTCTGTGTGTCTGTGTATACATCTGGTGACTTGTTATATGAAAGGTAATTGAGAGATAAGACAGATAGAATGATTCTATTTCAGAATTTACTATTTAGCTATATATTATTATCACATAATAACAGCTATACACAATTTATTATCACATCATGCAACTGTAAGAAGGTGGATTTCAGAAATATGTTTCTGTTACTAGTAACTGTGGATTAAAATAAAAATTAAAACTAGCTAAATAATAACTGTTATTAGTGCTAGCCCAATAAAGGTATTCCTGATTGTGGATTGTAGAATTTGTTGTATTTTGCTGCACAGCAAAACATAGCTACTCCTGAATATAGTTGTAGTAAAGACAGCCAGGATGGCTTAGTGGTTTGAGTTTTGGACTCGACTCTAGAGACTAGGGTTCAATTCCCAGTTTGGCCATGAAACCCACTGGTTGACCTTGTGCAAGTCACATGCTCTCAGCCTCAGAGGATGGCAATGGCAGGCCTCTTCTGAACAAATCTTGTAGGTTCACCTTAGGGTCACCATAAGTCAGAAATGACTTGAAGACACACAACAACAACAACAACAATTCAATAACCAGGCAGAATCCCTCCACGCGGTGGTTGAATAAAAGTAAATGCTGTATATAAAAAGGTCCATATTGGTTTCATTGTAGTACAGACTGATACTTATACTACCATAGGTTTTGAAAAATCTAAGGCTGCAACACTAGGTAGGGGACTTGTGCTTCTCCAAAAGTTGTTAGACTCTTATGCTCATCAGCTCCAACCACCTTGAACAATTGCCAGGGATGGTAGGAGCTGTAGCTCAATGACATCTGCAGAAGAACAGATTTTCCACTCCTGCTATGTACACTTACCTGACAACCGAATTCAATGAGACATTGAATACATTTGCAATCATATGCATGAATTACATGACCGCTTAGCCTTTCTTCCAGTGAGTTCAGGCAACATACTTATTCTCCTCCCCTCAACTTTATCACCAAACAAACCATGTGAAGTAGGTCAGGCTGAAAAGGGGTGACTGGCCCAAAGGTCACACAGCGATTTTCATGGCTCAGTGAGGCCTTGAACCTGGATTTTCCAAGTCTCAGTCTAACTCTGAGTGCTCCACACTGACTTTCTGTGTATGCTCTAGCAATCTTCATTTTATGCACAGTTATACTTTGCACATAGTCCAACTGAAAACAGCCAAACGATTATGACATGCTTTATTTTATATCGGTTATAATCTTAAAGCCCTCTCCCTTCGGCTATCTAAATGCAAATTAAGTGTCCAGCTTTGTGAAGCACAGAGATTGTGTCCTCAAGTTTAATACAGGACAATGCTAAGTACTCAAGTCAGAAGTGAGTCCTATTGAGTTCAATGGAACTCATTCCCAGGTGAGTGTAAGATTGTAGCCAGGTATCTAATTCTTCACCTGCATCATATTTGCCATAAGAGTCTTGGGAACCAAAACTATTTTCTTGTTTGTTTATGGACACCCTTGAGTCAAAAACAAAAAACCCACCAAACTACTGGGATTTGTTTTGTTTTGTTTCCCTTAATTTCAAGACATAAACTGCTGAACCAGCTGTCTCTTTTTAGTTGAATCTATATAAAAGGGTTATGTTTCAGGCTCTTCAAAACCTCCAAGAGCCTGCTGTTCCCAGGCTAGAAGTGCCACTGCCCCGTGTTCCGGTTTGCTTGTAGAACGTATAATTCTTTCAGGCGCTTCTGTATTGTTTGCTGTCAAAACAGCTCTCCCGGTCCCAGTTGTTCTCAGGCCTGAACATCCGGCAAAGATTCTTTCCCATGGGGTGATATTACAAAAGGGTAGTATCAATATTTATTGCCTTTTGCTACATCTTTAATCCTCATATACCTGGGGTTCAGATTCCCACTTGCAGTATCGCCTGATTCTTTAACACCTTGGCTCACACTCCTTTGCTCTTTCTCCATTAAGCACCCTTTTAAAGTTTAACTAGCATGGCCTTTTGTGTGTTGTCTTCAACTCTGTTGCCCCAATAAACATCATGTCTGTGTTTAGATTTCTTCAACCAGACGTTCTGCCCCAATTACCTTTTTAGCTATATTTACTTTTCTTATATATTTTTAAATGCATTATAAATTTTCAGATATAATACACACTATGATTCTCTACGGGTGCATCTACCCTGTAGAAATAATGCAGCTTGATGGATGCTCCTTCCATTAACTGCCATGGCTCCATCTTACAGAATCCTGGGATTTGTAGTTTTGTATGATTCATAGTGAGGCACCAGCTAAAGACTTTGCAAAACTAGAAATGCCAGGGTTCCCTAGGAAGTAGCAACAGCAATTAAAGTGGTGTCAAATTGCACTATTTCTACAATATAGATGCACCCTATGACTCTGTACTATCAACAAGAATATTCTTTGCTTTTGTTTCTTGTTTTTTATATAACACATGCAACATTAAGCACATAAAACATTAAACAACCTTAAACACCCACCCACTCACCCACAACAAAACATATAACTTTAATACAATAAATGACAATAAAAAAAGACTTCCTAAATATCTACCTTCCTAATCTTGCTTCATGTTTTCATCACTTTTAGCCCTATTTGTACTTCTAATGTTCCTTTGTCTTGTCATCATTTTATGTAATCCTCTGCTGTTTCTAAATCACCAAAAGAAAGAGGGGGAAAACCAAATGTGATAAGCAAACTCAATATACTTTGTTGTTATAGATTTCAAGCCACCTCTGACTTCCTAGGCTTGTCTTGGTAAGATATGATCAGAGGAGGTCTACTATTACCTTGCTCTGAGGCTGAGAGTGTGTGACCTTCCCGTGTGTGAAACCCACCCAGCGGGTTTCAAAGGCTGAGTGGGATTCAAACCCTCATCTCCCAGTATTGTAATCCAACACTCAACTATTACACCATGTTGGTTCTTACAAGTATACGTTATCTCTGTCTATATCGGTGAACTATTGTAGTTATTTATAATCTTTCACAGAGAACACACAGTGTAAAATTTTTACTATATATTAAATTCAGTCCTACCATGATTAGGAGTATATGCTAAATTGCTCCCATCCTCAGACTAACTTTTTCCTTCTGAAAATCAGCTTCATGCATCACAGAAGGCAAATAGATTAGGATATATTCAACAGAGATTTGCAAACAATTCTGGTTTCTTGATATGCAGACTACCCATATTGTCAAAAACAACCCCCCATTGCACTTGTGTCTGTGGGCTTTAAAGAGAGAGAGAGAGAAACTGATGCCTTGAACCATTATAGTATTGAGACAGAAAAACTATTGCTGTGATAGTTTACGAACCATCAATATTTTTAATGAATTGAAATGCAAAGCAGTAGTGCTTTACCTTTCACACCAAATAAGAGTTGATTTTACTTTGTTCACTAATGTAGCCCTTCTAATAATCAACAAATGAAAAAAGTCTGGAAATTTTAAAAGATCTGGAGTCTAGATTTCTTTCAACTTCATGCAATATGGTAATGGTAAGGGATTGTGGAAGTTGTAATCTAAAACATTAGAAGGGTCAAAATTCCACACTCTGTGAAAGCTAGCTAGCTAGGTGGCAGACAGACAACTAGTTTATAGGATTTGATGTCTGAAAGTTTTTCAGATTATTCCCTACAGGACATCACTGCCCTACTATCTGCCTTTCTCATTTCCTCTCTACACCGCCTTTGTTTGGGAGAAGCATGCTAGAACACAGCTAGCCATCACTCCTTTTTGAGATGCACTTGATTGATGCTACTTTAATAAGCTGCCAATACTTGTCCTACAACAAATTAGAGGGGGGGGCACACAGGAATATAGGCAAGGGCTACAGGTCAGAGATCAGCTTCCTATGACAAGAATGCAGTCTTTCTCAAACAGAAAGTGGCCTTGACATGCAATTCTCAATCTCAATGGATTATTACAAAGGGGGCTTGAAGAATGCTTTCTGTCCAGGGTCTTCCACATTGTCATTGTCAAGGTAACAACCGCCTTAGCATTGGCAATCACAAAGCAACAACAAAGAGCATCTTCTCTATCCAAATCACTGTGCCTCCTAACAACAGCTAGGAGTCAGGATTAAGCCCAGAACCTGGTTTGGTTTTCATATTTTTTTTTTTGGACAACTCCTCTCGGAATCCACTGGCCATGTCAGCTGGGGATTCTAGGAGTTGTAGTCCACAAATGTAACTTTCCCAAGCTTTGCCTAAGTCTTGTTGTAATCATGGTGGTGGTGGTGGGATGAACTAAACACTTATTGAGGTCAATGGGACTTACCACAAACTTGTTTTCTGGACAGTTGAATGTCTTTGGGTAGGAGTCCTGTCATAGACATCCTGTAAATGGAAGGAGCATCCATCACAGAAAGAGAGTTTAAATCACATAATGGACCTTTCCCTGATCACAGCACACCTTCCACAAATGGAGATTCCTTGTGCGACTGCAGCACAGGCTGGGAGATTTTAAGAAGAATAAATATAGAGATGCAAGAGTCACTCACAAGTGAGCAGTTATTTATGATAACACTCTGGGCCTTATACATATAGTCATAGTATTTATTCTTCTTAAAAGTAAAGTTATTAGAGTCTGCTGCAACAGTACACCCCATCCCTTTTCTTTTGTAGTGCACCTGCAGCACTTGACAGAGAATAGATACAGACAAAATATTGTAACCACAGCACACATGGCACAGTGCTCCTAGTCCATCAGTTGCCAATTACAGAGCTGTGTACTTATGTGTCTTCTAGTCACTTACTGATTTATGGAAAACCATTAATTTCATAGGGATTTCTTAGGCAAGGCATACTCAGAGTGGTTTTGCCCATTCCTTCCTCTGAAATATAGCCTACAGCACTCAGTGAAGTCACTAGGGTCGGCATCAACCAGTGTGGGAATTCATGGTGTCACTCCCCTTAACTTTCTCCCATACTACACCATATAGAATCCATTTAGTAGTGGATTATTTTTTTACTAATGTCACTCATAAATCGTAATTCCCATATATCACTGAATGTAATGACAATTGTTGTGCCATAAACAACTAGCAGAATTCAAATTATACCTTTAAATTACAATACCATATGCATAACCTAAATGTGTTTACATGTACATAGTTTCATGTGGTTAAAATTTGGTAAGATCTGCTGTTTTTAAAGAAACATTTAAAAGAATAAAAGTTTTAACAAATTTTATTTTT